GATTGTGTTTGAGGTATCGAGCTTTAAAATAAAGTTTCACAAAATTTTAAATATAAATAAATTTAAATACAAATTGAAAGAATTTTCTTAGGCAAGCAATAACAATAGCGTAACCTCTGCAAAGTAGGCAATAATAATGGTATGGAATTTTTTCTTCAAATGCTGCTATTGTTTGAGGGACTGTTTGATCGTTTTTTTGCATTTTTCTTGTAATAGAATGTGATAACCTGTGATGAAACAAACAGGAAGTTTAATTAGTTGGAATTTTTGATAGTGACAGTTCAGAGCAATATTTCGATTAAAATTCTACGTAATAAAAATGACAATGTTGGATTCTTTATTCATTCTTTAATAAAAAAAAACATTAATTAATTTATGTAAAATTTATTTTAACTAGAACTATTTATATACAGGGTGTTAATTAATGATATTCGTATGAAATTCAAGCATAAAAGTTCACATAAACAGATAACGTCGATGTTTGCCTTCCAAACGTTGTGTGCTCAGACTCTACGTAATACTTGGGTGATTTAAAAATTCTCCTTGATCTATAATTTGTCAATATATATTAATATGTAAATATGTAAATATCAGATTTATATTAATCTGATTAGGATTGCTCGTTGTTAAATGAAGGCGGAGCTCAGCTTGATGACGCATAACATTGATCGGAAAGTAAATTATTTATTTCATTACTACTATGTACAGGGTGGGCCATTTTTAGGCATGTACGTTTTCTCCTGAACCACTGATTTTAGAAAAAAAAGTTTATGCAAAAGTTTTATTGGTTAAATTAAATTTTAAAATTATTAATTTGTTATATATACAGGGTGTCGGATAAGTGCTAGGCCGACATGATTTTTAAAATTTTAAATGGAACAAACACCCTATAAAATGAAGGCAATTTTTATAGAAGCCATTTATTCGAATTTTCTGTAGTTTAGATTAGAAATTGAGATTATATATTTTGATTGATCAAATTTATATTTAGAAGACTTCCTTCTAATGATCTGCGAGGACGCGGTATTTAAAAATTATACAGGGTGACTTAAAGGACTTTTTTTTTAATTAAAACTTGCAGTATTCATTGTTTTTAAATGAGACGCCCATGTTTTTCATATTTTTTCTCAAAGCGGGTAATTTGGTATATATATATATATATATATATATATATATATATATATATATATATATATATATATATATATATATATATATATATATATATATATATATATATATATATATATATATATATATATATATATATATATATATATATATATATATATATATATATATATATATATATATATATATATATATATATATATATATATATATATATATATATATATATATATATATATATATATATATATATATATATATATATATATATATATATATATATATATATATATATATATATATATATATATATATATATATATATATATATATATATATATATATATATATATTCTCACGTATTGATTCACGGATGAAAAAATGTGATGACACTATATTCCGGGATATCATCCGTTCGCTCGTTGAACTCCGACTGGAATCCTGCAAATCCTGCATCCGACTGGAATCCTGCAGACGTTTCGCCAAAATCTCACTTGGCATCTTCAATGCTCGCGCTCCGTGTTCGAAGTGTTTTCGGAGCGCGAGCATTGAAGATGCCAAGTGAGATTTTGGCGAAACGTCTGCAGGATTCCAGTCGGAGTTCAACGAGCGAACGGATGATATCCCGGAATATAGTGTCATCATATATATATATATATATATATATATATATATATATATATATATATATATATATATATATATATATATATATATATATATATATAAATCTAATGGTTTTCGACATTTTTAGTAATAAACTCGCTGGCGAAAAATACTGACCTAATTATTTTAAAGAATTTTATAGTGGCATATTTCTCTTATATTTTATTTAATTTTAATGATTGTTTCAAGGAATGATGCGACAACATATTGAGATTTCGCATATTTAAATAAAGTTTTCATTAATAGTAAAAAATTCCCATTGTTTTAAAAGGCATAATAATATTATAATAAAACTTACTTTTTACTCTGGTAGGCTGTGGTAACCAAATGAGTGTCTATAATTGTTTTAAGTGAAGTTATGACTAAAAGTCAAAGTTTGACATATGTGATTTTAATCAAGCAAGCAAGCAAGAAAGTTAAAAATGTATACTTTTTTTTCTAAAATCAATAGTTTCTGAGAAAAGGTAAAGGCCCCTAATAAAGTGCCCACACTGCACGCTTCGTATGGTATGTTTTTTAAATATTGTTTTAATTTCGTCGATAACCGGAAAGCGGCGAGTAAATGATGTCGAGTTAATTCCCCGATCGTCAAGGATGACTATTACAAAATCATAACGTAAACAATTAAATTCAACGACCCCATTGTTTTGTCACCTTGTCATCCGCGCGTTTCCGGCCTGAACGCCAACATAGTATGCTTCCATAAACGGATTATTGCGGTATATAAAAATCGGTAGCGTATACGTTCTGTGAATCATCTCGGAAAAATGTCTGTTCGTTCCATCTTGACGGGAATGGTGTTCCTAGATTTTTTTTGCGGGAGGGGGTGGGGGTTTTTTTTAATTCATAACCCACACTATTTATGAAACTTATCCTATTACTTCTGACAAATAAGGGACAAAGCAAAACAAGGATCAAATAAGAGGTGCAAGAAGTCTTTATTGTCTTTAATTCGAGTTAGTGTTCATTTAGTTTTTGGATTACAATGATCCCGGCGCGTCCGCCGAAATATAGAATATTAGATAATTCTATGTTAACCCCTTCAAATTCAACAATACTCAGTTTTCTTATTATGAATGGTTAGTATTTTATATTAAAGTTAAATAAAAATAAGAATATATCATATTATTTTGGGCTATCTACTTATTTATATTCGGCAAGCAATTGTTTAGTACGGCAATCACCACTCCTGTCCATCTATGCACTTCCTGCGACACATTATACGTATTGAAAAGGATCCTTAAAAAAGAAGAAGCAAAGAAAGAAGAACAAAAAGAACGCGCTGTTGTAGTATGATAAAAGACGTCTGCCTATGCCGTTGAAAGGCACAAGCTCAGACAAGATGATATATATACGTATTACTAAAAAAACAACCCATCGATAGCTTCAAGGCGTATAGGAAAATGCAAAGCAACTAGGAAACTATGGGATGGTGTCGTTCGATTATGAAAAAAAAAACAATTAAAATAATTTTAAATTCAAGAAGAGAAGTCGTTGGTTGCTACATTTTTCACAATTAATTAATATATTTTATACCAGATTGCATCAATTCATAAATAAGTCATTAAAGAAAATCATAAATTCTTTTTCAAGCGATTTCATTAACTCCGCATCAAATGTAACGTTAAGGTATGTTATCTAGTTTGTGAAAGTATATGTTTGCAACATTTCCCGGAAAGAGCTGACGTTTGAAAACAACGTTCAAAGACGCACAGAACACAAATCCGTTCACCGGAGAAAAACGCAAGGCTGTTCGGTGTGGAATCTGGGACACACCGCCGGTATCGAGGTTGCCGGATTTACATGTCCGAGAAGTTACGCGAAGTAAATTTATTTAAGCTGTAATGTATTGTTTGTAACAATTACGAATGTAGTTAAATAGTAGACATATAAAGTATATCATTTATACGATTTTGTTTATACTGATACGCGTAAAAATTAGCAATAACATTTGGCAACGATGTCCGTCATCGACGGATGGGTTGGCCGGTAAGTTTGCGTTCCTTGGTCGATTTGTTTACGGAATTCGCGGTATTTGTGATTACCTAAAGAAATTAGAAATTGAATGCAATCCCGGTATGAGTTCCGGCTTAAAAAGTGTGTGTGTATCATCGAAACTAACCAAATTAATAAACGTAACGTATCTAGCGTAGGCAACCAACTTTACATATACCAGCTGATTTCATTGTTTGGATGTTCAATGAGCTTTTATACACTTTTTCTTGCTTGAAGCGGGAGTGGCATTTTTGTACAGAAAATGTCGGAATTTCATTCGTAAACAGGGATCTTCACTTGCGCTTAACTTTTTTTTTTCACAAAATGTAAAGAAAGTGCTGCTGAAAAAATGCCACGTTCAAACGGAGAATTATGATGAATTAGCAGCTGATAGGTGTTACTCGTTGAAAGTGAGTTTGGAAATGATACATTCAACATATTGACTTCAAAAACTACATATAGCTACTAGATATTTTAACCAATGACCTTGCGGCGTTCTACAGTCAACATAGCGGTTGACACTTAGAGTGTGAAGATATCCGTTTACACAGACAATGGCGTATGGGTATGGTTTAGTAGGCGAAATGTAGAAACATTCCCAGGAACAATAATTTTTATCGCATCCACATTATCTAATAGCGTTATATAATACCTGGAAATCGCTCTTTTAGTAGGATCAGGATGTCAACTTAGACAATACTCAAAAATTCACCACTACTAATCCAAAACCATCATGCAGAAAACAGAGTTTCTAATCAATATTTTACCCCTGTTTATCTTAGTAAAACCTCTCCTAATGAAGATTTCTATCATTCTTCCTATCCCGCTCGACGGTCTTCTTCTGGATCTTCTTCCGACGGGTACATTAATCTTTGTCATTATTAGCAATCTGTCGTCGATCAGTCTGTTTACGTGTTTATTCCAGAATTTTCTTCTTGCTATAACCGATAATTTAATTTTTGGTTGGGATGATTTTCAAGATAACGATTTAGATGACATGGTGAATAATCATAGCTTTGTACGAAACTGAGCAACCTTGTATGAAGCTTTTGATCTCAATACCTTAAATGATGATTATGATGAAATCATCAGTGCTTTTCTTTAATTCACTTTAAAAGAGATCACTGACAGTAGGGCGTTAGAAAAAGGAAGAAGTAAAAACTGACTATGATATACTGGCACTTATTTATCCGCACGTTTCGGTCTGGATTAATTGTTCATTTATTTTGTTTGTGGATCTTTTTAATTACATTATAAATTTTTTGGAAACGCGGGCAACCCGAACAGCTCTGGCGCCATGTACTCTAATGAATCGATCCTTAACGTAGCTAGCTTCCACAGGTCCTGAGGTACTCTTTCGTCAGGAACCATTACCACCTGCATCCCTGCCGCTATAGCACCTTTCACACCATTGACCGAGTCTTCGAAGACCTTAAAAATTGACCGGAATTCTTGAAAAATGCAATGTCAATGGTATCGTGTGCTTACTAAGCAGCATTCTGGTTGAGGCTTATCCGGGAACCTAGAGGCGCAGACCAAAAACGTGTCGGGAGCGGGTTTGCCCAATTTCACTTCGGGATCAGAGCCCGCGCATACGATGTGATGGAAAAGCGTGAAAAATTCTTTGTGTTTTTCCGACTTGTGTCGAACTGATTCTTCGTGGGACGACGTCGCTATTGCCATTGGTATTTTATTCGCGTGAAAATGTCTCACCAGCTTCTCCGCTCCTATGGATTACGTGAACGGTTTAGTTTGATTTGGTTTACTTTTTATAAAACTTCTGGAATCTTCCTGCCTCGGTTTTTGTTTAGTCGAACTAGCTAACGTTTCGCCAATCATCCTGTTGGCTTCTTCATCATAAAATGATTCAAGATATTCTTACAGACGGAACATATCGTCAACTAAAAAAATATCCTACGTCATCTATGGAACGCAACCTATCTATCATTAAGGCTTCTTCTCTATCAGACTCCGTGAAAAAATCTGTCATCCCTTCATGACTCTTAAAATGCCTCATTTCTACGGACTCGCAAAGATTCACAAATCAGAATTTCCCCTTCGACCTATTGTCAGCACCATTGATTCTTCAACATATTCTCTAACAAAATATCTACCTTCCCTATTAAAACACTTTACAGGGAAAATTGGCAGTTTCGTACTTAATTCTTTTCACCTTGAACAAATAAAAAGTACAAGATACTCTGTTTAGTTTCGACGTAGAATCCCTCTTTACTCAAGTTCCTATTCCCGAAACTCTCACCATCATTTCAGATATATTGAAATCTGAGAATCTGGAACTAAACCTTCTCACCTTAATTGAAAAGTACTTGTCTGGAACATTGGGACATGTTTTTCTTATAACGGTCAAATTTTTGAACAAACGTCGGGAACAGCTATGGGTTCTCCACTATCACCAGTCATCGCGAATATATTTATGGAAGCCTTTGAGAAGAAAGCTCTCGACACCTCGAAAATTATGGAAACGCTACGTCGATGATACTTTTGTTATTTGACCTCATGATCAGGAATCCCTAGTAGATTTTCTTCAGATCTAACATTGGGTCATTGTGTTTGCAAAAAACCTACGCGCACAGACCGATACGTAGTGCATTGCTACATCACCACCCGGCCTAAAAATCATCGGTTATCAACCCTCTTGTTTACAGAGCCATAAAACTCTCAGTCCGAGTCATTGAACCCAAAGTTAAAACCTCTGCTCTTCTCTCTAATAATTTCCACACACATCACAAAATACACTTCACCACAACCTTCCAATAGCAATGAAACCGAAAGCAATCCCACACTTGCCACTGTCGTCCTTCTTTATATTCAAAACATAACTGACCACATATCAAAAGTTCTAAAGAAATATAACGTCAAAACCAGATTTACCACTTGTTCAAAAATTTCTCAACATATTCGATCCGTCAAAGACAAAATTCCATTTTAGATTTTACAGCATTTCGGCATATGCGGCGAAGAATACATTGGAAAGACCGGATGAAAAATATCAACTAGGAAAGAGCCTTAAGGCCAAATAAACTCATCAGCAGTTCTTCTTGTATGTAATCAATTCTTCTGCCAACGAAAAATCCGAGAGTCTATAGAAATCTATAAGCAACCTAACAATCTTAACCACGACTCACCAATATAGGAATCAGTCATCCGAGACGCTCCCCTCAAACAATATAAAAGTAGGTACAGAGTAATATGCGAACCAGTTTCAGTTAAGCTCCGAACAAGCCAACAGGATGATTGGCGGATTGGCAGAAGGAATCCAGAAGTTTTAAAAAAACTATTACAGTGGAAGTTTGTTTAAAAAACTGATTTGGTTTACTTGGTTAATTGGTTCGATATTTTTGGAAAATCTGCACAATGGGGTTAAAGGAGTTTGTGAATTTTTCACAGTTAACATCGACGGTAGAATCTGAACCTTACTATATAACCCGAACCCCATTAGTTACCAGGCATTAGATCGCAATTGCCCAGTTTTTCGTGAGCGTAATCAGCAAATTTTCCGGCAAATTCCTCATTGCTGGCATTGATCTTGAGCAGTTCCCTCGTAATTCGGGACGTCTCCTCCAAAACACTGCCCGACACTTTTTCGGCTATCTTTGAGCAGTATTTTTTTCCGTAATCCTCAATCGTTTTGGCCAAAGCTTCCAGGTATACTTTCTCTGAATCTACAACTTTGCGGGATAGTACTCTGTTCTCTAAGCGTGTTTCGCATAAGACATTAGGTTTTATAAGACTTTGGTATGTAGCGAATCATGGAAGGAAATGTCGTGCATGGTTCTCGTTTTATATTGTTGCTCGAATTTAATTATTACCTAAGGCTATATCGTAGTATTCAAATCAGAATGCATGGCGTATCTAAATTTTTTTCACTGAGATTTCGTCCATACTGGTCTTTCCATAAGATCCGTTACGAAATTACGAACGCAGGGATGTAACAAGCTTAACACCCAACGTTTTGACTATTATTATTAACGACGATATGATGGTGATGAATGTTTGTTTTTCTTTAATTTGTTTATGTGCGTGCGATACGTTAACCAAATGCATTTTCTGCGTTTTCGCTACTTTTTTGGGCAAAAGGCAGAAAAAATTTGGCTAGTCCTTTTTGGTTTTGAGATTTTTTAAAACGTTGTGAATTTTTTCTCCATTTGGATAACTTAGTTTAAGGATAACTTTTCTTATAAGATTCAGTGCCATTCTTAGAATACAAGGTCAGGCAAAAAGTTATTGGACGCAACTTTTTTTAAATTTGAATTTTGCCTATACCCCGTGAACAATGTGACGGAACCATAATTGTTAATAAGATTGCCCTATTCTGTACAGTAGTACAGTGCGCTGCTTTTTTGTGCGACTAAACATTACACAAAACAAATTTCATAAAAAATTATGTAAACAATTCTGTAAATTATTATTAGTGTTATATTAGAGTCTCCCTTGGCGCTTGTATTAAACTTAATTTTTTCAAATAATCATATCTATATAGAGCTCCTTCTAGATATTGGAACAACTATAATTGATGGTTACCGTTACTCACCCAAGAGCGTTCCATCTAAATCGAAAATCACGTGCGTGACATTTTTAAATTTAGGCATTGTGCAACAATGCAATTTCATTCCAATCGTTTACGGAAATTTCGTTACCGAGCTTAACAATTTCATTAAAATTATTTTGACGTAGTGTGTCAGGTGTCAAATAAGCATTTACCGTCCATCTCAGCTTGGTTGAAAGTACTCTCGAGTGTAATCGACTTTCTTTGAAATTCTTACAATTGCCCATCTCGGGTACGTACTAGTAATCCAGATACTATAATTAACGCACAATGGACTAGAAATTTTCGCCACAGAAATGATAGTTCGCTTTGGTGGCGGTAAACTTTCGCCTACAATTGTTTTCAAATGAACGCGTCGAATGGTTTAAGATGGCGGACCCGTTGCTCGTTACCAGAACGGTATTTTAAAGAAGATCGATCGTTCTCGTTAGAGAGAAAGGTAAGAAGACTAATAGACCGCTGTCGATGGCGTCGTAACAAAAGAAATCGATTTATCAATTATTTTACGCCTCCAGCGATGATTTCTTAAAAGCTGGATGAAATTAGGTTGGTTTGCCAGACTGACAACTCTAGGCACCTAGATAATATACCTTCTCATAAGTTCAATTTTATATATCGATAACGAAAAATAAAATATTTTTTTTTAATTTTTGACATTTAAAGTGACATTTTTCATACCATGTAAGTACGTATAAAATTATTTTTAATCAGAAAAAGCTAAAACAAATCCGGAATTACAGGAAATTAAAAAAAGGTTAGACATTCTTTTTGCCTTAAGTAACAACAATAATAAATATGAAGATGCTTACAAAATGAAATGCATGTGGCAATAACTAAAGATATTACAGGAAATACTAGAAATAATGAGGGAAGAGGAAAATTCTGAGCACATAGCTAACAAATATAATAAATACCTAACCTCAATAGTCTCAAAAAAGTAAAACTTTGCAACTGATTCACAGAGTATAATTAGGAACATCCACATTTGGTAGGTTTTTATTGCGCCAGGAATTTCAAATAAACTAATTTTTATAGTATAAACTATAAACGAATAAACGATGATATTTTTGGACTCGGGAGGGAAAACGTTTCATTCGAGAATTCCGCAGCAACATGGCTAAAAATAAAATAAGAGGTGTCTTTATTATCTTATATACTAAAAGTGCAAAAAATATTTGGGAGAGATAACAATTTTTTAATACAGATAATTTTTAATTCAATTTCCTTTTCTTTTCAATTTCCGAACATCCCACCAAATCGGGCCTCTCACCTTTTTCCCGGGCAAAGTGAAAACAATAAAACTTGAACCTGGAGACTAACAGTGAAAGCGGAATTTGAATCGCCAACCAGTTTTGAATGATGATAGAACCTAATGACAGTTTATTAACTAATGACCCGGCGATACAGTTCCAGCGCAATATTAAAATCAATCAAATCACAAATTATGGTGTAATTGCTGGGTGTCGGTGCCTACAAGACTTGCAATTAAACCTACCAGAATTCACTGACTTAAACCAGAACAGCGGCACAGAGCCGTACCCAAAGATTCGAGAGACGGTAGTAAATTTTGCTAGGGATATTTCAGTTGAATTTATACCGATTAACACCGAACATTACTGCAAATAATCGACACCATTGTGCCGAAATAAATACCAATTTAAAAGAGTTATTACGTCTTATGACGTCACTATAAAAAAAACACATTTTCTCACATTTCCGTTTTTCATTGCTGTTTCTTCAAAAATTCACTAAAATCATTTCCATAACCTACCAAAATGTTTTATTGATATTTGGCACAGCAAACCAAGAACACAAGCCAAACCAAAAATCTAGGAAACTGTACTGAATTGAACTGTTCGTAAATTTCGCTTTAAGGTTTAATAATCGCTTAGTAACGGCTCTAAAAGAATTCTTTGGAGAGGAAAATAAATCAAAGGCAATCGAAACTCTCCATTACATCGCGTTCTATTTTAACAACCGAGCAGAACACTTGTAAATCAATTTCTTCGTAGTATCGATTTCGTCTACTCGTACGCCAATCGTTTTTCAGGGACTGGTAATACAAAAGCTAAATATAGGTCGCTGGCATTCGATCAAACGCAGATTTATGAATAATAATTTATTACTCTCGTGCCCGCAGGATTTACAGATCTTTACGCTACAAAGTTCGTTAAACAGGTCATTGACGACTCGTGTACAGTTGTCCAATCGCTAGCAACGACGATCAAGTTCGGAAAGTTATTTTACCCCGCCGCATGGATTTTCAAATCGATATCGTCGCCCCCCATAGAAATAAAACGTCTGAAGACGGACGATGAAAGCAAATTCCTGATGAACACGCAGATGTAAAGTGGCAAGCGTTGGTCAATCACCTCCTCTTGCGAATACAGGGATTTTCCTTCGTTTTAGCGAGGCATTTTCCAATAGAGTTTCCCGCTCGAGCGAGCTCATTGACCCTTTACTCCTGATACATAATACTATTGCTGAAAAACTAAAAAATCCAATGTACATTATATAATGTTCAATATTATAAGAATTTCGAATTGAATGTTGAAGGTGAGTAAGGCTATAAATCAATTATCGTCAAAGTTAAGCCGGGAAAATATTGCTCTAATTTGTTTATAGTAATGATTAACAATAGTATTTAGTTGCTAATTTCTAAGAGATACAAATCAGAAAATATTAAATGTTCCACAATGCAAAACTTTTTCTGAAAATGTTAGGCAGCTTATTTGTTTCGAGTCTACGTATTCAGCAAATCGAGCTATCAAGGGGTGTCAAATCTTTGAGGTAAACTGATGGTTTTTTGAACACAGGATATACAAGATACAAGAATTAATTATGTTTGTAAGAAAAGAAATATTTTGAGGAATTTTGGACAGTACGCATTTCTGAACCAAGTTCGAAACATAAACATTCTTAAAACTATATACAGTGCGTTCTAAGAAAATCTAGCTTTCTAGTAAGAAGTGTAAAATCTAAAAAATGGGTTTCTATCTGTTTAAAATGACACGGGATGAAATTTTATCACTAAATATGTATTTTTCTCAGCCGTAGGTGGATTCATTCATTGCTTGGAGTTTAATCAAATCTTGTGGTTAGAGGAGATTCCTTCCTTTCTGGAAATTATTCGTATAAATATTTTAAACGCTGAATGTATTAAACAACTATTGGCTGGGCTTTGCAACTCAACCCCATGGCATTTTTGAAGTAATTTTTCTTCAATATTACACCGCTACTGTTGTAGCGACTATTTTCACTCTCGTTAGAGTCAACAACGCCCTGCATGTAGTATGTATGTGTTTCCGGTTCTGTTTGTCCAATATTTGCTTAACCTTTTCTTCCCAACAATTTTTTATCACGTCGTCAATTTCATAGCGCCTACATTGAATTCTGCACCGAAACTAGATCGTGAACATTTTATTTTTCAAACCCGTTTGACAAACTGGTTTTAGACGAATTCAGCAAATACATATATCAACTACAAAGTAATGGTTAAAAATAGTGATAAAACTCTCGGTATAGTATATAAAGCAATTTTAGTGTTATTGATTCCTTATCAAATGCCGATTTGCATTATATATAATACAGGTTGCGCCAAAGTTATCCTTACATGCACTGCACTCTGCTGTTGTAAAAAAGTAACCAAAACATCAACTTAAATTTTAAAATATCTCAAATAAATGAACTTAGGAAAGTAACAAGAAATGAAATGTATTTTCCACACGTGAACCGATAATAGTTACAATACGCTTTTATAGCCGTTTTTAGAAGTCAAATAACTAGCACGAACAAAGCATTGAATAATTGGTGGCAGTTTTGAAAAGTCAGTTGACATGACCTGTTAAACCATGGATTCCAAAGCCAACTATCTCTTTCTATATTGAAAATCTATAACACTTGTAATGACTCGATAGTCTACTCGAAAGACCTTAGTAATTATCAATAATTAAAATATAACAATATAATAAGTCTAGCAGTAGATATTACAAACTAAAAATTATTAAAATACTGCACTTTTCAACCATTTTTTTAACATGTCATTGTCACTAATTTGGTTAGTTTTGCTTAGCGTCATATGAAGGAACTTATCGTATCAATGGAAAGTTGCCATATGAAGTGATTAGTGTAAAATCTTTAACCTTTCAATAGACAAAAGGCGTTGTTAAAACTATATCCAAATCTTCTAGTGCTTCTATTTTATAGTATTTGAGATTCCGATTATAGCATACAAAGTCAAGAGTGTCTATTAAGACAAAAGTGTAATAATAAATAATAAGACAAAAAAGTAATAATAAAGTTAAATTTATCTAACTTGAGTCAGATTGACAGAACCTGAAAAATCTATTCAAGTCACTTTATACAACAAAAATATCTACAATCGGATTTAAAATTAGAAAAGTATATATTTCCCATCAAAATTTATCAAATTATTTCGTCGATCGATGATTTTCAAGGTGAGTTTGAAATCGCCGAGTTTTAAAACTTTTTGTTTGGCCCACTCTGAATAAATATTTCATTTATCGTCGAGAAACGTCAGCAAGAAACGCCGAACGATTTTCGCCTCACTTCGTTGGCAATCCACCTCAAACGCACGAACTGATAAGCCACACGAGTAGTTGGCAGTCGGAACGTATTGCCACTTTGGAATCTAGATTTATTCCGTTTCTGTGTTCTGTTTTGCTAGGCGACAGCTGGAATAAAAATGAAGGAGGAAGCAAATGCGGGAGGCAAGAAGAAACTCAACTCCGTGGCTGAAAAAGTATGATAGCGGTATTACTTTGATATGAATTTCGCTTATTTATCTTTGGGAATACCCCACTATTTTTTCGGTTAAATTAAATCGAGAACATTGAATAATTTATGTTGAAATTGACGAAATTATTGGGAAAGAATATGTGTATCGAAGTTTTCAAGGCTTTTTGTTTTCTCTTCGCAACTTCAAACCAACTTATTGGTTGTCCAAATATCAAATAGTATGTTATGCAACAAGTGCGGTAAACGGCATTTGACTCGCTAGTTTATTTGACACTAGCGGAGCGAGTGTATAATAAACGAGTGAGTTAAAACGTTTACCGAAGATGTTGAATACCATACTTTTCCTACGACCGTTAGTTTTTGGGTACTTTTTGACAAAATAGCACATGACCGTCAGAATTGACAAACGTCAAAATTCAAAGCGTGGGAAATGTCTCCGAAAACATCCGATCGCTCCCAAACCCGTGCGGTAAAATCCCGGAAATGTCCGAAGTGGCTCGGATTGGTGGGAAATGAATCTGACGTGGCAAAGCGACGCTTCCGTCACGCTAGATCGGGGCGTAATTACGTATTTTACAGAGGGGAATAGAGAAAAAAATTATGACCCTGTTCAAAACAAAGAACTGTCGAGATTTTTTTTTTAATTAAAACTTTTCAGATTTAATCTAAATCGATTTTTTTAAGAATACGGTCGTCGATATACCAATTTTTGACGACAGGGGTGAAAAAAAATTAATTAATAGAAGGAGCGTTTTTTAAATTTATATTTTGGAACAAATTAAAAAATATATCAACATTCATTGATTCCCAAAGCATATGAAACTATATTCTTATTTTCAACTAGAACACATTCAACAGAAAATTTTAACATGGAGATCTGCTTATCCAAACTTGGGGTAATTGGTAATTCATTAACAGAAATTAAAAAAATGTTCATGCCATGTCATACATGACCCCTGATAATTTAATTAGGCAGTATAGGAGTGAGATAATTTATTTTTGAATTAGTCACCTAAATAATATTGGCCAAAATGCAAATTTTAAAATACGTAATGGAAGCTACTTAGCCGAATAAATGTGATGTTTAAACTTTAGAAGTCGATATAGAGATCAATTCGTGGAAACTGTGGACGGACTCAAAGGAGACTTCATAATTATTACATAAATGAGCAGCACTAATTATCTTTTTATCTTTAGTTAGTTTTTAGAACTTGTCCGTTATAGTAAGTATATAAGTAAAGAATAAAATTAAATTGCTATTGTCCCTATTTTAAAAATGACCATTACTTGACTTTTTTCTACTCCCGTCTGTAAAATACCAAATTACACACCGATGTAGCGTGCGAGCCACTTCGGACATTTCCGGGATTTTACCGCACGGATTTGGCAGCAGTCGGATGTTTTCGAAGATGTTTCCCACGCTGCGAATTTTGACGTCAATTATGTCAGTGAATATATTCGTGTTATTTTGCGAAAGTGTACCCAAAAACTAATGGTGGTAGAAAAAGTATAGTATGCAACACGTTCCGTAAACTTTTTAAGTCACTCGTTTATTAAACACTCGCTCCGCTCGTGTCAAATAAACTCGTCAGTCAAATGCCGTTTACCGCACTTGTTGCATAATATACTATTTAAGTCCTAAAATATATGCAGGAAAAATATAAAAATATGCTTATGTCGATAGATGATTGAAGGGGATAGATACATAAACAAAGTCCATTGTTCTGGTCCTTCTTGTGACAGTTGAGTAAATAAATTTGAGTCCATGCGTATCCAGATTGAATTGCTTTCAAAATATCAAAAATATAGAGTTCGTATTTTGAAACGTTTTCATTAATTATTTTGGCACGGTGTTTTATACGAAGCGCTTCTATACCTCCAATAAGTTCAGTATAAATGCAATAAAATTTGATAGTGTCGATTGGTTTTTAACGGCCCAATTGACTTTTTGTATTTATTTACTAAATGTCAATTTCACTATGCGTGATATTGCTAAGTTTGCCGGTAAATTTGTGCTGCATTGAGCAAAGGTTTGGTGTATTTTTCGTCACGTGTGGACATAATTGGCCATTGCGAAATTTTTAGTGGACCATTAACATGTCTAACGGTAGGATTTTCTTTTCCAGAGTGGTGGTCCGGGCAACGGCACAAACCAGTCGCAACAATACTACCCAGGACTACCTGCGGGCTATCCCCAGCAGCACTTCCATTCCAACATGCAGGGGGCTCATCCTGTTCCTAGTCCGACGCATATGGGCCATTCACCTCCTCCTAACCCAACTTACTATAAGGTCAGTATTTATGAGTACCCAAATAAGTTTAAAAGAAAGAAAATAGAATGTGTTCGTAATGAGGGTTTTAAAATGTATAAAGAACTTAGAGTTAGATTATGTACTCGAATTCCCAAGTTAGACCGGAACAGTCTGGCAAATACAGAAATTTTTCCAACGAACTATATGATATCGATAGTAATTTGTATTACCGTCATATAATGCTATTTAAATTATTGTAAAATGTTATAGCGAGGTTTATTTTATTTCTAATTAAAAATTGGTATCAATTTACGTGTAGCTTTTTTTTCTGTTTATATCAAACCTACTAAGTTCGTCAAATTCCGTAAATTTGTACAAATTAAATTTTTGGCTCAAGAATATAAAGACATATATACAGCTGTGCAAGCATTTCTTGTAATATAATAAATAATAAAAATTGTTTTTTATTTTCAATTTCTCTATGTGTGAATAAGGACATCTTCGTTTAGAGGCTTTTTTAACTCATTATACTTTCATTTCAGTAAGTTCTGCTTTCTTTCTCTTTGAGCAAACCACCACAGTGCATATTGGTGGTTGACTTATAATTAGCATTATTTTAGTAGTGTTCTGGTATGAAATGGCTTCCTTAGCTTTAATCACAAGCGTTGTGGTCATCTATTCGATCGCAGTTTTAAACTACTCAATTTTACATAACGCAGGAAGAAGAATCTCTGTATGTGTGGGATTGCAGGAAACGAATTTTTAACAACGCTGATAAATTCGTATAGAAAACGATCGAGATAATTACATTAAAATTTCGCATATTTACTAATTGAGTAGCAAGTATGTTCGAATTTATTTTAAGCACAATCGACCGGACTAGAGGTGATTTTAGCATTTCATTTTAATAAAAACATCATCGCCTTAAAGAGTTTAGTGTTTTATTTATTGATTTCCACGAATATGTTCGACATATTATTGCCTTTCACTGATTTATTTATTAGTGGCCGTATTAGCTCCTTGCGCAATACCAGCAGCGAAATTGATTGTGGTCGTTGATTGGAACAATGGTGTTTTGATTTACATTTTCTTTTTCCACAATCTTGTGCAATTTAGACGATTGTACCCAAGCCTGGTGTGCTTAATAGATTCAATAAATTTAAAATGAACAAATCAATACTAATAGTCTAAACTCGAACTTAAAACAATTATCTCCACCAAAGTTCATAAAAAATTAACATTCACGAAGTTGCCAGCCATCATAGGGTCGTCAGTAACAAAGTAATGTTATTAACTTGAATCCAAGGACGAGATATGGACGTATGGACGGCGATATGATATGAATTTGATTTACTAATGTCTGAAATATTTTTGATGGCCTTTAAGTGACATAGTTTCAACGTTATCAATTTTCAGTCATATTTTTATCAATTACGACTTGGGGATTTTCCAATAAATTCCCAGTTTTCCTAAATTCATTTTTGACGTAAAATATTATTATAAGCTATAGTCTATTTCAGAATTAAATTTGAGGTACGCAGAGGCAAAGGGATTACAGAGTGGCCCAATGAATACCTAAAAGCTTCTTTCATGGTTTGGTATCATTGTAAAATTCTTTCTTTCGATCGACTGCAGTTGGTAACCCCCGGGACATGGGCCGATTTATGGGTTTTGCCTATTGTCATCCATTTACCAACACTGCAAATGTTGTGCTGAAGGCGTGTCGGAAAGATGCTCGTAAAACGAAAAATTTTATTTTATAGGAATAAAAGTTATATGATATATCGAATTATCTTCAAATCAATATTATTGGTAGTTTACCAATCGATAATATCTTCTTTTCGCCAAGATAAAATTGGAATCTTTTCTGTGCGTAGTGAATTAGAGCTTGCGGTATCCATAACTTCTAAAACATCCAATTTGAAGGAACAAAAATAATTTCGTAGCACACCCATCACTACGCTTATGACCGACACCGAAATTGAGCGGAACTGGAAGGAATTTGCTGGTTTATTGCTATACACTATTCTGAAATAGCCTATAATTAAGTCAGTTTGAGGTCATTTTTGGAGCGTGAGAAAGGCGAGCTTTTGCTAAGCAGCAAGCATCTGGGTTTTTTAAATAGTAAGTCGATAAATTGAGCGCACATTGGAAATATGGTGACTAAACTGGAAAAAGGCTTTCGTTAGTAGTGACGTACTAAAAATATACTTGTAAGTGCCACGTAATACTTTTTTTTTCAGGACGAACGTACACAACGACAACACATCAAACTGAAGAAGAAACTTCAAGAGAAACATCAAAAGGTCGTGGGAGGCGAAATGTCACCGCAGAAGGATCTAGTGAACGGCCTAAAAAGGTCATCGACGGCACAAGTAGTCAAGGACAAGGGCATGAATAGCGTCGGCACGAGCGAGGACGGCGAGGAAAGCAGCGTGCCCGACGAGGAAGATACGGCGCAAATGATCATGGACATATTGTCCTCCGTCCAGGCCCCAAAGGTCAGTTTTTTCTTTTGTTTATTTCTTTGATCATATTTTTCACTTTACTTTCACTAATTGAAGTAAATTGAAGAGTATCTAACAATATAAATAATTTAAAAGTACCTCGTCTTAAAATGTACCCCCATTTACTTTAATTGTACCTAAAGAAATGTACAACTAAACAACAATACTTGAAGAATAATGAAATCCACGTAAAATATTCAAATAATTTATATTAATGAATTGGAAAGACATGTGTTAACTAAAGCTATGGAATTTGCTACCGAAATGTCGAAGTATTATACGAGGGCTGCCTTTTATACGGAAATTTGACATTTTGAGGTTAGGTTTACTCAGTTAGATTTTGGCGAAAGAGTGGTTTTTGCGACAAATTTAAAAAATTGTGACGGTTAAAAATGGAACTTAACCGGGAACATTTTCGTGCCATAATTGTTGACAACTTTAGACGTGGACTAACTCAACAACAATTCTACTTTTGGAGCTAAAGCACCATCTAGAACTACTGTTTATCGCTCGTTTTATGACTGCAGTCGTGATCGTAGTTTTCTTAAGGATGAATTTCGTGAAGGTCGTCCAAAATCGGTGGTTGTCCAAGAAAACATTGATGCAGTGCGGAAACTGATTTTGCAAGATCGTCATGTGACTTACTATGAGATTGAGATATCTTTGGGCATTAGTGGGACCAGCATACATACAATTTTGCATGAACATTTGGCCACTAAAAAAATTTTTTCGCGTTGGGTTCCACACAATTTGATGCCAGCTCGAAAAAAGGCTCGTGTTGATTGGTTGAAGGAAATGCTAAAAAAATGCTGCTTCCAAACACGTCTATGATATATATCGTGACAGGTGATGAATCATGGATCCATGCATTAGAACCTGAAAGTAAGCAGCAGTCGACTTTATGGGTCTTTCAGAATTAGACAAAGCCCACAAAAGTTGTTCATGTGCGAAGCACCTCGTAACAAATGGTAGCCTATTAGGAAAACTGGCCACCTTGCAACTGTTTCTTTGGTGGAAGGTAAAACAGTCAATTCTAGATGGTACACAAACCATTTGTTTGCCGAAAGTGTTCGGAGAAATTAAAAAAACCAACCGCCAAAGACGAATCACTCTCCACGACGACAATACTAGCTCTCACCCATCAGTGCAAGCAAAGAACTTTTTGAGCATTAAAAAGGTTGATTTGATGAGCCATCCACCATATAGTCCTGATTTAGCACCTAATGAATTCTTTTTATTCCCACACATTGAGAATAAATTTACGTGGGCAACAAGAGCATGTTTTGGAGATGCCCGAATCGATGTGGTAGCTTATAGCCCTAGTAATCAATACAACAACACAACGTGATACTGTAGAACGAGATCTGTTGCTCATAATAAATTAATTTGCTTATGCCGCTGGTAACGCGGCCAAGAAGAAGAGGGAGGAGATTCAGATATGCGAAGATGCGAAGGTCAGACGGGGCTACTTTTTAAATATTTCTTTTTTATCTTAATGTTGTTTGACCGGACCAGTAAACTAGAGTTTTGCATAATTTCTGTTTTTTTCCTATCGGAATGTAAAAAATATTAGCATTAGCCTTTTTTGCAAGTGATCGCTTTTCTCTAGGGAAGAAAATTAGAAACTTATGTGTGGGGTTCATTTAGGTTTCAGAACTAAGTTCCCGTAGTGCCTTATTGCAATGGGCGACGCCCATTAAGCTATCAGAGTCTGCCAGCACCGATAGCGGTAGCCACGAGATCGACATCTCCGAAAATGATCTTCGCTACGAAGTGCTGTTGAGCGATAAAAGCAAGGAGATGAAATACAAGTCAATTTATAACGGCGCCTCGCTATCTTGTCGGATTCAAGTCAGTATAAAATTTGTTCCTGGACCGTGTTTAACTAGATCTTCGGGTTTCTGTTTTAGGACTTAAAACCTGGTCAAGAATATTCCGTGTGTCTTCAAGTACATCTAGACGAACTACAGGGTTCGGCGACGGATCCTATCAAATTCAAAACGCCGCCATGCGAACCCGATCAACCCCAAGCTCCGAAATTAGGCGCAAAAACGAAAAATTCTCTGCAACTTAGGTTGGTAACGGAAATTTTAACTCAATTACCGCCAAACCAAAAGTGATTTCGTTGCTTAGGTGGAACCAGGTAAATGACAACGGGGCGCATATCCTTTACTACACTTTAGAATATGACGCTGGCAAGGGTGGCGATTTCGAAGAGGTGCTTAAGAGCCGGGGCAGGACACAATTTAACCTTCAAAAATTGCAACCAGCGACGGCCTATAGATTTCGATTGGCCGTGGTCAACGAAGTGGGCAAAAGTGCTTATTCCGAGATTGCCACATACAGGTAATGCATCAACCAAAATGCCATTTTGTCGGTTTTACGTTTCGACGTCTCTAGAACAACGGAAAATCCGCCGTCCCAACCCGATCCGCCGTCACTGGTCGAGGCAACCCTGTCCAGCATCCATGTCAAGTGGGAGCGCAGACCTAAGGACGAGGAATACACGCTACAGATGAACGACCCCAATACAAAATACGGCCATTTGAACGTGTACAACGGCCGCGAGACGTCCTACGTCTGCCAGAGGCTGATGTGTTATAGCGACTACACGTTCAGGTAAACTATAAATTCAGCTAGCATTAAGGGTGCCGGTTATAGAGAAAACTAATAAAAAAGAGAGTTGTATTCACCAGGGCTACAGTACTAATAAATATCAAAAATATAAAAAGCAAAATAAAAATTTAAATAAAAATAATATTGTGATTAGTGGTTAGTTAGTTATTCATAAGTAGTTATAGGACGGAGTCATAATATAACTGAAAATAAATAATAGATTATAATAAAGGTTTCTATATTTTTGTTCCCAATGTAAACCCAATTACTAATCCGATACATGCACCACTCCACATTTAATGAAGCTAAAAGGCAATTGGATTTGAATTATTGAAAAAGAAATCATAATGGTAGGAGAAGTTGAAAAACCCTTAATCCTTTAGGTGTTTGATGTATCCTAAAATCCTAATAGAATCGCATTCATTTGGAGCAACCCAATGGTCTTTGTCTACTTTTAACTATTCCAACTCGTACAGATAAAGACGGCCACCCGTAAGTAAGTCGTAACTTGACTTGTTCACATGACGAGGGCATTTTTTCTATGTAGATCTGGTAAAGATAATACCGGAAACAACGATTTTCTTTTAAATTTTCATAAATCTAACTTTGGTTTAATGTATCATGCTTAATCTGTCATATCAAAATAACAAAAAAGAAAACGTAGGACACAACCATCTGTACACGATGATGATAGTTAAACCTCAAATTCTAAAACGTAACAAACTTCATTGGTCCGTTGTGATCCATTTTTTTTTAGCTCACTCTTTGCCGTAATAGTGGTCCAAAAATTAACGCAATCATTCAAATCAAAGCGAGAGGTTCACAACGAGAAGTTTAACAACATTTTTTTCATTTCCTGAATTTTACTCGCGTTCCATATTAGAAAACATAGTGGAACGAATATTGATATTTTGGTAGAAAGGGAATCATTTTTAGTGCATGCCTCTCCATTTCACCAACTAACCTATGATATGTCTCTCAATTTCACTCACTAACCTACTTTAGGCCATTTTTTTCTTTCCAAAGAGCGATTTTCGCATACTTATTTCGTTTTACCAAAATATTTGGAGAGATCTAGGCATATTTTGAGAAAATTCTGCTGCAACAGTCGCGTATGTTGACCATCTGTCAGCGACCATATTGGTTAGTTTCATATGTCAGCAATAGGGACATATTGAACTAATGAATATCAGCGACCATATTGGTGACTGAATGACACAATAGTTGAAAGGGATATTTGAAATGGCAGTTGAAATGTTATCGGTTTAATTTCATGTTTTTTCACAGGTTACGGGCTTGCAACGAGGGAGGCACATCCCCTTGGTCAGAAGAGGTAACATACAAGACGAAACCCGACCGGCCGGGCAGACCGTCAAAACCAGTAGTCAAGGGACGAATCCACGCCTATTCGTTTAAACTGAAATGGGAACCTCCCTCAGATACGGGAGGAGCCGAAATCACTAGGTATATCTTGGAGGTGAACTCCGGGAGTGGCTATGAACCGGTCTATTCTGGTCCCGATACGGAAGCCGTATGCGACCACTTAACCCCGGGCACGACTTACCAGTTGCGAGTTAGTTGCTCGAGCACGGGAGGCCAGAGCTGCCCCTCCGACCCCTGCACGGTGACCACCGACGCTATAGCTCCCGGCCGTTGCGGAACTCCCAAGCTAGTGGGACGCGCCAAATCAGATTCCCTAACTGTACGGTGGACAGAACCCGATTATAATGGCGGCGCACCCGTATTGGATTATGAGCTTGAAATGGTAAGCCCTGTTGAAATTTGAAAATAAGATAAGAATTTTTAGATACAAAAAACAATAAACACAAGGATAAAGATAAAAAAGTCAACCAAAAAAATGTTAAAAATGACAACTATATAGATCGTATGTCCTCGGCGCCAATTCAGAAGAATATTTTATTGAAAATGTCAGACACAAGCTTGTGATTTAAAATGACTCTGTCCAATTACCGTATGCCAACCATTTCAACCACAACACAGGAGCTGATAACACATAAGAATGAAAGGCATCAGCTGCAAAATGTCACGACATTTAATCCTTTTTCAATGCAATTTAGTAACATATTGTTTTTTTTAACAATTTATAACTTATATAGTTTTAAACAACCTTATAGTAAATTCACACGGGCTTCCATAAATGTTAATTTAGCATTAAATTAATATTAACATTAAAATTAAGAAAACAACGGTTCACGGTGGGATTTAATGAATCAATTAAAATTAAATCCCGTGTGCTCACAGAAAATAGTAAGTAATCGAAAAACTTGTTTTTAGTTATATGTAAAGTCAAAACGTTAATTGACACTGCCATTCGTGATGCACATGCGCATATTTGATTGTACCTAAGAATGGAATGAAAAGTTAAAAATTGCTAATTAAGCAATCCAACGACCTGAAATTCAATATGGCGTCCCTGGGAAGTAAACAAAGTCAATAAAACCAAAAGGAAAACTGTTTTTTAGCAAATGATCTTATTTTGTGTTCGTGCTGAAAGTGTTTGTGTTTTCTAAACTTTAAATTCTTATTAATTTTGGTTTTAAAGTGTACTTTTCTTAGCTCTTCATGAATATTGTGTAAAATCATTCATTTTTGTTAGCATAGTAATACTATATTACTGTTAAGGACATAAGGTATGAAAAATGTTAAAAATGCTTATAACTTATATTGTGGTTGGTTGCGGAAACCCTTCATACCGCAATTGACTAAGTTTTTTTCGCAGTGCTATTTAAAAAAACAGATTTTTGTTAAACGTCCATCTCTCTGTTGCAACATAATTATTGAACCAATGATAGTATAAAATCGTCACAAAATTCTTGTACTCTAAACAAAAATTTCGTATCTTATAAGCTTGCAAACTATTAAAAGCCTTCACCTGTTACTTAGTGTAAATATCTATGTATGAGAAAACACCAAATAACTTATAATATCCATATTGTTGACTGGTGGAACGTAGTTTAAAAGCCCTCTACCAGCCATAAGCCATCTGATATCTAGAAAAAAAACATTTGATTTCATTCAGTTTTTTAATATTTCCTTTCACCAAATCGGGATTTTTTTATAATAATGACTCTCCGTCAATTTGAACACTTCAAAAAAAAATTACTTTTACCTGAGCTACTACAATATGGAACATTTTTTTCGTTATTTCTTTAATACATGTGTTTATGAATAGAAATAACGCATACCAAATATCAAAAGTCAAAATCCAATATTTAAGTTGACAAATTATTGGACTTGTCATATCCGGCTATTCCTTTTAAACTACACTAAACGCACCGAAATGATCGTGATGTCATACCGCTGCTTTTCTCAGGTTATAGGCGAGGATTATATTATTTACATTTATTTTTGACTCGTGTAAAGTGTTCATATTTAATCTACGACAGTTTGTATTTGTGCTTAATGTACTTTACATTATGATTTTGGAAGCAACACAAAAACAATATTACAAATCGTGCCATCGTGTTTGAGTACAACCCGTAAAACGTAAAGAAACTTTTTATTCGTCTACCAGAAAATAAAGCCGCCGTTTTTTGGTAATATTAGGTTCAGGTGTCACTTTAGCCTTAACCGTGCAAACATTTTTCAAATTTCAAGCCATCCTATTGCAATCTCCACAGTAATGGCTTCCTGATCTATATAAAATAAAGAACATTTTAAGTAATCAATGACAATATACTTTAAAATCAGTATTTAGGTTTCCATTAGTTAAAAAAAAATCCTTTTTTTTTAATTGAATAATTTACATTTTATTTGATATATCATTTGAATTTAAAAAACTAGAAAACTTTAAGCTGGTTACAATGTTATATTCGTTTAAAACTAGTGTCTAAATTTTCCATGGACGTAACTTTTAGTTTTAACACCTCGAACCTCAGCAAAAGAAAAACCTTCCCTGGCTTGTACGTAAGATATTACCACAAACATATCCAACATAACCAAAACTGTAAATTATCAGATTGACTTTTTAAAAAAGCGGCTTCGGTCAACTCTCATTTTGATGCTAAACGCAACATAAAATTAAAACCATCAAGACGCATTTTCGTTCGCTAATGGCTTCTCTATGCTACTGTCCGGCTGGCACGTAGTCTTCCGAGTGAATTGACGTCACAACGGTCACAGCCAATCACAGCGCTTCTTAAAGAGGATTTAAATTTTACAATTTCTAATTGTTTATATTTGTTATATAGAAATACGAAATTATTTTTTTGTGCACTATGGTTTTTTTAATAGTATAAACTTACTTTTATAAGCAACATTTTTTAAATTAAAATTTTGTTCCATTTCCCTATTATTTGCCCTATACCGCCATATTCGATCACATGGTTTGGATTCCATAATTTTTTAATGTTAATGGTTTAGTGGTATTTGTCTATTTAACATTTAGTATTAAATTAGTGTGAAAGTGAATGGATGCAACCATTAAACGTTGCACCCCGTTTCGTTCCAGATAAATCCCGAATCTAGTCCTACTATAGTGCACAAAAGCAAAGAACTGGAATGCACGGTGTCGTCAGGCGTTCAACCGGGCGCGGAATATTCTTTCGCGGTGCGAGCGGTGAACCGAATCGGCGCGGGGCCGTGGTCGGAGGTGCTCAAGGTGGCGTCGGGGGCGGCGCCCCCACGCGCTCCCGAGATACCCGCCCTACGTTGTCGATCGCCTTACCACGTAAGCATCGAGTGGCACGAGCCGCCTTCAAACGGAGCACCGATCACCGAATACAGGTTAGAAATGAGTCCCGATTCCGTCGACGACGGCCGCCTCTTCGCCAACATTTACCAAGGACCCCATCATTCCTACGAGGCCAAGTCTCTTACCCCGTTCCGGAAATACTTTTTCCGAGTGCAGGCTGCCAACTCGGCCGGACTCGGACCGTATTCTCCTATAGCGGCCACCATGACGTCCGCGGCGCCGCCATCGACGGTTTCCGTAATACGAAGCGAATCCACTCCGTCGACGATCACTCTCTATTGGTCCGAGCCTGCCTGCAACGGGGCAGAAATCAGCCACTACAACATCGAAATCGGGGATAAAGTCGTGGAGACGTCGGGACCCGTGACGGAATGGAAATTGGACGGCCTACAACCGGAAACGAATTATAAGGTCAAAGTTCAAGCCGTCAACGCCATGGGGGCGGGATCGTTGTCCGCGACCTGGCGAACATCGACTCTACGACTCCCTCCCGCCCCGCCCACGCTCAGCTGCGTCGGGACGGGTCATACTTACCTGAAACTCAAGTGGGGCGACGGCAAGAACCTAGATTACACCCAGTATTCAGTAGAAATGGAGAACCAAAGGTCGCGCGAGTGGCAGTGCGTGTACAAAGGTACCGCTTTGTCATGCAAGGTGAACAAGCTGCAAGAATTGACCAAGTACAGGTTTAGGTATGTATCATTTACACAGCTGTGCACACATGCATGTTGGGACGAAATGTTTATAAACTATTCGTTTGGTAAATAGATCTTCGACCTCCTCCCTAGTTTTAAAACACAGGTGCACTAATCTTGAATTTGAAATGCAATTGAAAGCTCCATTCAATAAAAAATATAATAATAAGCAACAGACAATTTTAAATTAGGGTGAAAATTCAAATATGTATTCAAGTTTCTATTTTTATAGAGCTCTGTTTTTGTTTCTTATTTTAATTTTGTCTGGTTATTTTGGTTATTACGTTTGCCTGTTTCTTATTATAGTTTTTTATTTATTCGTGATTTGCTAGTCACTTAAAATTAATAAAATGAGGTTTGACTTGTATTTCGTTAGAAGAAAAGCGGTTTCCAATAGATATTCAATTGTAACATGTTAAATGTAGAGTTTTTATTGAATATTGGCATCCTCTGCATAATTTCAGGATAAATGCCACAAATGACGCGGGAGTGGGCGAATTTTCTGATGAATACGAATTTAGCACCTGCATAGCGTCGCCAGTTGCCGTAAAAATTCCTAAAACCTTAGAAGTTGACCAGAGGACTTGCACAATTGAATGGCCGGCATCGAAAAATTCGTTTTGTGATCCGGTTATTTACGTGGCCCAGTTGGCCAGGCGAAAGGATCAAATTTTTAAACAAGTGAGTAATTTGATGTTTGTTCTTTACCTTAGGGGCCTTTTCATAGGAAAGAGACATGACCAAGATCTCTGCACGCACTATCTCGTTTTTCCCTTAAAATTTTATAAGTAAACTTTGATCCAATACCGTCAACGCCCATGTGGGTTGTGAAAAGATCATCTTTTAAAACTAGGCGTCAGAATATCAAAAATTTTGCGGCACTAAAAAATTAACAAAAGCGCTTTATTATAATCTGTTCCGATTGAAGTTCTATTTTACTGATTGATTAAGGTGATAGTAATTTTTTATATAGCTATTAGAAATTACAGTGGCCCTACTACGATAAAGCTTAATAAGCCACAGGCGGTATTGATATTTTCGTTTAGAAGATAATGATTTTCCTCGCATGCTTAACCGCTAACCTGCGCTATTTCTTTCTAAACAGCGATTTTATTTTTCCAGAACGTGTAACGAGATCTAGGCATATTTTGAGAAAATACTGCCGAAAAAAGCCGCATTCAAACTTATTGACCATCTGTCAGCGGCCATGTGGACTCTTGAATGCCGCAAGGCAAGGGCATTGGTTAAAAACGAGATTTCAAATCTCGCACATATGCGCATGATGGATTTTTTTTTGTAATAGTTGCTTCATAAGTTCCTGTATTATCAGCATAAGCAGGCAGGGTCTCTATATATCTAGTAGCTATATGACTTAAACGTAACCATTGCCGTTCATCTGCGGTTAGAAAGATTCCACAACCAAGAAAGATAGACATATAGTTTTCTTACCAAGACGCTTTTTAGATGTTGGGATTTATATAAATAACAAATGAAATGAAGGAAACATGAAGTAAATGTAATTGTTTTTCAGGTATATAAAGGATCTGAAACTAAGTGCTCTCTCGAAGATTTAGAACCGGGTGTCGAATATTGTGCTCGCGTTTGTCCGGTGCGGCTCACAAACTCCGGCGAACTACCCGGATGTTATTCGCCAATTTTAAACTTTACCATGATGACGGCCGAGGTATCTGCGGTAACCAAACTATCTCCGGCCAACGTTACGCCAACGCACACGCCTAAGAGTCGAAATTTGACCCAAGTATGGCAGTCGGTGTCATTTAGAAAATTTTTCGAAGAAAATTTAGTGTACATTATCGCATTGTTTATTACCGTCGCTGGTATAGTCATATCGCTTGGTATAGCATCATTTTTGTAAGTGCAATTTACCGAAAGATTTTGAGACTATTGCGTAACTTTTGATGTTGGACGTTTAACCGTTAACTCTGTAAAAGAGATCTCCAAAAAAAACGTTTTGTGGGTTATTCGGTTTACATTTTCATTAGAGATAATAATAAATTTGAGTCAAAATTAGTCGGTCAAGATAATCCGTAATCAAAGGCCGTTTTCATTAAGGAACAATGTCGAAATAGTTGATTAAAATTTGAAGTGAGAAAATTTCAAATTTCATATCGACGGTGAGCGTTGCCCAACATCAAAATTTGAAATAGATTTTCAATCTCTTTCATTACGAGAACATAGTATTATTCGACAGGGCTTTTTTTAATTATTATCGTAAAATCGTGTTAGATGTTATCTTTTTTAACTGTGTAGCGGACCAGAGCTCAGATGTTTTGGTATTTTTATACGTGTCCGTATTCTACGAGTGGTGCTAATAAGAATCTAATGATGTGATGTGTCAGACGGCCTTTTTCAAAAAAACGGCCGTCCGTGTTGTTATTCCAGTCATCCCTGTATATTTCTTTTTTATATAATATACTATGTGGTTGATGGTATTATTAAATTTATTAAATTATTTTAAATGCAAAAACAGAAAAATAAGTTTTTACTGTGGCTGGAAGCATATGTACCTAGAGAATATTATACATTTATTGATTTATAAAAGATTATATACCTATATATATATTGCAATTTGTATTATAGGATGACGAGACAATTTAAGCACTAAATTTAAAGAATAAAAATAGAAAAAAAATTACTGTTTTAATCTATATGACGAATATATTATGCTATAGTTGGGAATTGTGTGTGAGTGCGGCGAGCACCTTACCGCACGAGAGATTATATATATATTAATATATGCTATAGGAAAATACATATTCAATAAATCAATTATATTTTATGTACTATTGACTTGTATTTTATTACAACCATCCTTCCAATCCCAAGACCTTTCAAAAAGGTAAATTGTCTACAATTATTGTTACCAGTGCTTTTTTGTGAGGATTGGAAAAAATAATTTTTACTTCGATTTTTTCCCCAAAACGCAGGTTAAAGAGCGGGGAGGGAGTACAAAAAATGATGGGCTTACTACTTACTAGAACGGGCGTGCTCCCAAAAAAGATGTGACAAATAAGACCTGGTGCAAGGTGCAATTTTTCCATAATTTTGTAGTACAACCTTATTAATTATTCCCACATATAAATAAAACTTTTAAAAAACAATAAATCATATTTTCTATTTAGAAACAATGCATTTAAATATATACATTTACATTTTAATAATCATTTTTTGGATGATCTGCTATCCCGGGTTGGATTTTTTTTTCTTCTGCTTCTGACTATTAACCTCGACTCTTTATTGCCTGATCTGGATCTAGACCTAGAGTAGTTGGATTTTTTGTCACTTTTATGTTTATACACTTTTTCACATTTCCTTTCCCTATCTCCACCATCATCATCCGAAGCAAAACCTACAATAAAAAAAATCTAAATACTCATCTGTAACAGTAAATTCCCTCACCATTTCGGGGGAATTCAGGTGACTCGGACCATCTCCATTTGCTCCTGTCTGGTGAGTTCCAACTGAAAAAAAATTATGAAAAAGTTATTTTACTTTTTTTTATGGGAACTACCTTTTTTCCCTGTCGGCTTTCCTTTTTTTGCTCCTATGACCATGGTCATCCAAAAAATTGTAAAGGTTATGTGGATTGACAAAAACGTGTAAAAAATTACAAGAACTACCTTTCGGACATCTGTTGGTATGAAATAGACCTATTAACAAAAATGTAATCATTTACAAATCAATGCAATCAAATCTAAAGTTACTGACCACATATTGCAGTTTTCCAACTATCAATTTGACAGAATTGCACATTTAATTGTCTTCCACCATACCACCTTCCATTAAATTTTCGATAACTAATAAGTGCTTCCCTTGTGGTGGAGTACTCAACATAAACATTACCACGTAGATGAAGTTCATGATTACAACAAGTCCGAAACTGTCTGCAAAAAATATTTAAGATTCAGAAAGGTAAATGGCAAATTTTAATGATTATTCTCCTTGCTTACTTACAGTATCTTTCCACATTTTTCCATTTCAGACACAACATCATAAAAAAATTCCCTATAATGAGAGTATGTCTCATCTTTTTCATATTCCAAACTTCCATCACTACCATGTTCATTTTCTTTTGTAACCAAGCTATAATGGGAATAAAAGTTGGTAATCAAAATAGTTTTACTCACACCTGGTCGAACATGATTTCTTGAGCAACCATCAAAAAATCTACAAGCCCCTGTTTTTTTGAAAAATGGACAGGTGGTTTTGCCAGGATTAGATTCTAACTCAGTCTTTAAATGTTCTGGGGTACTGCCTCCACATTCCAAAAAGTTTAATATTTCACTATCTCGCTTTTCTTGCAAAATCCTTGCTTCTTCCAACTCTTTCTCTTTCCTTCTTTTCAAATCTAACAATTTCTTCTGTTCCCTTTCCCACTCTGCTCTTATCTTCATATTCTGTTTCTGCTTTTCTTCCCGCGCTAAAGCAATTTTTTTCTGCAATTCTTGCCATTGGATTTGCGCTTCTTTTTCCACCTTTAACCATTCTGAGTTTCGTTGAGCTGCTTGCTTTGCCTCTTCCTCAGCTTGTATTTGCTCAAGAAATTGTTGTTCCTCAAGACACTTTTTATAGCCGGGAGAATCTTCTAGTCTCTTCTGTTCTAAAATCATTTAACAAAATCAAAAAATTACAGCCTACAGTTCAAAACACTCGTGCAAAAGTGTTCATACACAAGTTTCCTAAAGATTAAGAAGAAAATTAAATAATATATAACTTAAATAATGTATTTTGGTCACTATTTATATGTACCGGAAACATAAATATTGCTTTAATTTATTTAGTTTCGCTATTTTTTTTTCGACTCATTTGTTTACTTTAGAAATTAGTTTATTAATATTTGACTTACCTTCGGCGAGTTTTTTATCCCTATCTTGAGCTCTTGCCTGTCTAATTCGCTTTCTTCTAATTTTTTTTGCAGTTTTTCGCCACGCAGAGTGTCTAGATAAAATATTAAGAAAAAACATAACCCCAGTGGGTCAGAGGAAAACACAAAAAGCATTTATAGAAGTAAAATTTGGAATAGTTGTGTTTTACTCTTTTAAAAAAGGATACCTACTTCCCCATGTAATTTCCCAATTGAAAAAATCTGTTCCTGAAATTTAAATCAAATTATAAATGCCATTTTTGCACACCACAGACCCAGAATTGACCACAGATAAATAATATATTTGGTATAGTAAACAACTATTAGTCAGAGACAATAAAACAATTATTAGGAATATATATACTTAATTCAAACGTTTCTTTTTTAAAATTCACGATCAAGAAAATAATTTAAAACATTTGCTCTTAAAAGACTATCTATTACAATTTATTACTAAATTTGGCAACTGTCCGTGTGGTGTGGCAACAATGTTTTAGTTTAAGTTAACGGTTTTTATTTGTTTTTTTTTTTCATAGTGGGGAGTTCAGGCAGCTGTTTATTGCTTTTTAGGTTTAATTTCAAACACTTTCGATATTGTTTTTGCAGGTGATACCGGGCTCTGATATAAAATGAATTTGGGTTAAATCCGCTATTATAATAAAAAATGGGAACGTTCCAAAGCAAATTAGCTGACAAATTACCAGATGAAATTGATGAAAAGGGTAGTATTCCATCGACCCCTATTTTAACAACAAAATTCACAAAGGAAAATTTGGAGTTCCGCTTAGATCCAAGGTCGCCCAGCAAGAATATATCCCGAACTCCTATACATGTAAGATATAAATAATTTCAATAATTTTCCATATTTTTGATAATGTGTATGTAAAACATTACTCTGAATTATTTATTTCAGGTCCTCAATGCAGCAGCTGAAAAACTAGCCCAACTAAGCCTAAGTAATGTTCAGTTAGAAACTCCAATAAAACATACCACCTTATCACATTTTGATCCACGTTCACCTGCCCTTGAATTTAAAAGAACTCCTATTATATTAAGTGATTCATATGATGAAAAACCACCAACTCATTTAAGAAACAAAAACTTAGACAAAGTACGGGCTTGTGCCATTTCAACTACTCAGGTTGGTACACCCAGGTATACAAATATTCCACCCAAATTGTTAGAAAGCACTCCAGTCAGTCAAAAAATGGATATGGGTAAAAGAAGGTCATTTGGGGGAGTCCTTGAAACAAATATTGATTTTACTGAAACTGATTTGGACATTGTCTTAAGGGAAAAATATGCAGGTATTATCACTATTTTTTTGTTCGCTAAGTTGAAATGTCATTTCTGATATTTAAATTCAAATTCAAACAATAAGTAGGATTCAAGTATTATTAATAAAAAAATTGGTTTCTTGTTTCAATAATGTCTATTCTAACAGATCAATTAAGGGAAGAATTTAAAGAACAATTTGAGCATGTTGAAGATCCTAGATCACCAACAACTAATTTTTGGCGTACCCCAATTCAAGTTTTAAAAGACTCAGAGGAAGGCATAGTAAATAAGAATGAAAATGACATTGACATTTGTGGGAATGATTGCACTAAAAAGGTCAAGAAACATTCAGTTTTAGAACTTAAATTGGAAGAATCTATTTGTGGTGAAATTCTTTCTCCCATTGTTGCTTTTGAAGAAGTTGATGAAAGTGAAAATGCTCACCAAGAAATTTCCAAGGATTATCCGATTAACAACTTAGAAAATAGCATCTATAAATCTACTGACAAGACTGATGATGTTCCTACACCTGAAACTAAATCTACCATAGCTTCATTGTCGCCAGAAGCAGGAAAGCTTGGTACCGTGAATAATACTCTTGCCCTTACCTCACCACAGGTAGATGTGAATATAAAAGAATTTGACAAAAAGTTAACAAACCTGATATATGAAGATGAAGATTTGGTTGTTTGTCCAAGGATAGTCAAAATGAAAGAACAGGTTCGCACTCCACTAGGCCTCATGAATGCCTCAAATAACCGCCAACAACCAAAGTTAAAGGTGAGTGACAAACCAAGAAAATCGAAATATGCTGTCAGTAAAATACCAGTCTTTAAAGAAAAAAAGATTAAAGGTATACAGTGTGAGAACACTCCTCCAAGGAATATGACAAACGCTAAGAGGTCCCAGTGGGACATTAAAGATGATACACTAGTAATTTAATTTTATTGTAAAATTCATTTATTTTAGTTTTTTTTTATAAAATACAGAATAGATTGGTTTTTCAGTTTTATTTATTTTCAGCTGTTTAGTTGAAAAATACATGTTGGAGAGAAATGTCTGAGCATATATTACTATTTGATACACATTTAGTAAAGTTTTATGATGCTTGGCAACACTGACTTGGTGGCAAGGACCAGTTATATAAATAAAAATCTCTTTTAATGCTTTCTTCTGTACACAATTGTTTATTTGCCAGAAGATTTTCATACCTGACCCTCATTTCTACAGTGGACACACCATGACTAATTAAATGATAATTTTTACAGCCCCTACTTATCCACTCCGTATCAAAGCGGATATCATGTATTCTGATTATGTTGTTCACTGAAGACAACCACAGTCCAACACTAATGTCTTCTGACTTAAACATTCTGCAAAAATAAATATTACATTAATTTATGTATTTTTGCTATCGATATTAGTAACTGACTTATTATTTACTTTAAAAATGTATTAATTATTACATATTCCCTACCTTAAATCCGCAGCATTTCTCCCAATAAAAAGAACTAATTTTTTACTCATAATGTAACCACCGCCTAAAGCATATGGGACATATCTATCACAAATTTTCCAGTCAGGCTCTTTCCATTTGCCCCTTGTTTGAATTTTTGCATTTCCATTAAAGTACCCCCAAAATATACTTAAATTTTCTACTGGTAAATCACCATTTGATTGAACGCTAGTTGTAATGAAATGGTTGAGCTTCTCCGGAGACAAATTTAATGGGAAATATAAATTTGAATTAAATAGCATATTTTCCATTTTATGAATTTCTATTAAGACAGAATTTAAATTTATAAAACTGTCGTCATCGCATTTTAGAGCATATTTGAAGTCTAGTCCATAGTCGTGTTGCTCACTTAACCATTGGAAACTTTTTAGAACTTTCAAGGTTAAGTTTTTGTAATTATCATATACTGGCAATAACAAAATATCGCTGAACTTGTTCTGTTCATTATAAAGTTCTGATGAAATATCATCATTAGTATTAAAGTTGCCAATCACAAAGTAGTGTTTAAATGTATAACCAATTGGGTTGATTTTTCCAAATTGAGATCCTAAAGTAATCCATGTACTGCGAATGCTATTCCTTTTGTTGAGATTTTTTGGTGCAGAGAGGATTAGTATTATTAATTCAGGGCTTTTGAGTTTAGAATTCTTCATAATATTGTGTTCTCTATCTGTATCCTTTACTCTGCAAGTCCTTTCTATTGGAGTCAAGTTAATGGTCAACATACTACCAAGAAGAAAAGACAAAACAGCTACAAATAAAATACGAAATTTTTTAAAATTATTTAGTTTTTGCATGTCAGTTAACTTGTTTTATTTTCTACTTTTGCATATTTCTAAAAAGACCAAACATTTTGTTGAGGTTAAGTACGTGACAAACTATAATCTTCCTCATGCACAAAATACCAATATGCTAGCTACATTTCATTTAATTCTCTGCTAATACCGTTATCCTTGGACACTTTATCGATTTGTTTATTTATAAAACGATAAAAACTAGAACAGAAAAAGGTATTCATTACATAAGGAACAATAAATAAAATACTCAACGTAACGAGCAAGTTTGTCAAAAACATTTGTTCAATAAAAATAATCATATATAGGGAAAAACGGATATCCTTGGTTTTGGACAGTAATATGTTTCAAGATCGAGTTTATAGCAATTTCTTATACTGAATGAACTAATGGATTTCCCAAATGAAAGCATCATTCCTTGTCGCTTTAATTATTCGAACCGGTCGACGAAAGCCAGCGAAACTAAATTAACTAACAAATTAAAATCCTCAGAGTTGACAATGGGCGAATCATCCTGGTGCATTTACTTAATTTTCAATCCTCCTCACGGCATGTGCTGCTACAGTGACGTTTCTCGATCTACTTTGATTAGGTACATTGACCAAGGCTCCAAACAAGTTTTCTTCGTTACTCAAAATTTCTATTCTACTGATATTTGCATAGCAGAGGAGGGTAATATTGGTTTGCTTAGTTTTTAAATCAATAAATCACCAATTTGATCTTACATTAATTACCATGCGAATATTATTGGCAACTTGGCTATGGCTTCCTATTAGTTCAGTTCTCTTTTAAAAGTAAATCATATAAGATCGAACTTCAAAATCCGTTCAAGATTTGCTTTTATTACACTGAGCTGTACAAATATAGAGAAATAAAAAGGAGTGAAACAGGGAAAATCAGAAATTTCAAAATTACTTACATATATTTTTCCGTGATAATATAATATCGTAACTGATGACGTTCTAGCCGTTTATAGGCAATTTTTGGCTGTTTGCAATTTTATTTAATGATTGCATCAAGCATTAATGCATCAGCCATTGATTTATGAGTTCGCTTATTACTCTAATGCTTGTATAATATTTGCTCTAATAAACGTTACAGATTTTAAAACCGCATTGTTAATAACACAAAGTATTTGACTCAAGTTTTTGAAAAACCATTTCCCAATTTTGCGTTCACTCAGCAGAGATTAACCGCGCCCCGGTTAATTTCACTCTCTGGTGAGAGAACTTTCCATTTCCCATCGCATTACATCGGAGTTCATGATGGTACGAAATGGAGAGTGACGCGCATTGCTGGTTGCCTGGCAACATTGTTGTCAAGCACGGAGCGCATGGGGATTAGGCAATCCGGGCGACGCATCGGCACCGACACGATCTTGAACATTGACCGTGCTTTTCTAAAGCTACAGGCGGCGTAAATCTGAATTTTTGTAAAATATTAAGCATTAAAATACGTGCGTCAATGAACCGTCCACTTCCAACATCTATGAAGTTTGTAGAACGCAAGCCATTGATCCTTAATTGTCTGGTCAGTATAATCCATTAGCATTGTTTAATCTAATGGATTCAGTAAACGCGAAATATTGTTTCGTACCTGGGACCAACAGTGAGACAGTCGAAGAAAGGTAAGTGCAAAATTCTTTTAATTAGCAATAAAAATGCGTCTTCTATTAATAATCGTGGTTTAAAATTCGCGGCGACTATGCGCAAAAGTTTTGGAAGAAATCGACAATTGGTGCGCGAATTGTTGGTTTATTACCGGCAGATGGCGCCATGCAGCAATTTTATAAGAGAAACTGGTTTTATACGAATCGGCCAGAACTTTTAAGTATTTCTGAAAATCTTTTGAAATTTCGAACGTGTGATAGAATTCGTAAATGAAAACTGCTATTTGAGAAAATTTTGAGTGATTTTATAAAAGAAAATATGTGTATATGACAGGTGTATAACCATGTTTTGCCCATAACCTTGAATGTGACCAATCGAAGAGAGCGGCACAAGCAAGCGGCCAATCGCGTTCGCCATCTGATCAGGGTCAACAAAACCTTGCGAGAGAATCGAGTTTGTATGGCGGCCATATTGAAAACAACATTTTCTTGTGGAAGTGTGTGTTATTTTTTTCGGCGATTCAACTTGATCGGAACTAGAAAACTAAAACTAAAACAAACTGTTTAACTTCCGTTGCGTTTTTGCTACGTGTTTCGACGGTGTTAGTTGTGCCGCGAGTGTTTTTCGTGGCATCTTTTAGTGTTTTGATGTAACGAGACCTTGAGCCGTGTTTAGCCACTTACAGGCAACTTTTGGATTTTGTTCGACGACCAAAATGCTTCCCAGAGATACAGGTAAAATTCTTACTTACGTAACTGTACACATACTTGCAGTATTTTCGTTAGTTTGCCGTGCAAAGATTTGTGGCTGTGATTTGTGGGCAGTTTCGAGGTTATGTTGGGTTATCAGAGTATGTTATCCGGTGGCTCATGTCTGTAAACAAATTGTTCTAATTCTGTGCGCTAGGTATCTAGTGAGTTTTACTAACCCTTAAATTATAATTTGCAGTATATATTGTAGAAATATAGTAGATACATTTTTTTTCTTAATTCTGACCAAAGTAAAATGTTAGGTTTTACGCATTCTAAATTTATTTAATTTTTGGCTATATAATTATATAAAAATATCTAATAATTATACTCATACATACACAGTTTGAAAAATTGGCACACTCACCTATCCAGGTGGTTAACGCGGATCATCTAAAAATAAAAAACTGAAAATGATAGGCAACCACAGGTTTAATTAGGCGCTTAGTTGTTAACTACAAACTACAGAATACCTAGCCACAATAAAAGCGACAAACCAATCAATGTCTTTGTATATCTTCCCGAGTTTCCCTCCGTTAGTTATTTCCCGCATATTTTGCGATGTTTAAAGCCAAATGCGGTGTTGCCAAACTAGCGAATGAATGAAGTTTTGCACTGGCCCGTGCTGTTGCCAGTGGATTTTAATTGCTGTTTTATTTATTTGTAATTCGGTTTCGACATACGCCCGCGTATCTCGTTATGTACATAATACAACCATTAGTATTTTAAAACTTTTCTCTTCGCAAATTAAAAATTGAAATCGAAATAAACAAAAGTTGACGCTTGTGGAATTATTCAAGACCAAACGTGCAAAGCGTCGCGTGGATATTTCAGGACCATGGGGCGTCAATTTGCATTCTAATCCGCCGGTAAACGGTTTCTGAATGTCGAAGTACATTAGCAATTTAAAGTTTATTCCTTTTTAAAAATGTATTGTATTGACAAAAGGCAAGTTTTAATGGAATCTTTTAGAATTCGGAAATGGCGACTGGAATGTCTAGAAAAAATTAGGATTTACAGAGAACAAAGGCCAATTATTTACTTGGATGAAACCTGGTTCGACACTTATGATACCCCGGAAAAGGGTTGGGTTGACTCAACTGATAAGTGTAAAACAAACGCGTCATCAAAAAGAGGTAAAAGAAAGAACTATTTTCCATGCTGGCTGTAAAGATGCTTGGATTCCAAATGGACTTTCTCTGTCTGCGAAAAGTATTAAAGATTCTTGTCTGGATTACTATTAAGACACCACCGCTGGTTTATTTGAAAGTTGGTTTAAAAACAAGCTAGTTCCAAACATTCCTCCTAATAGCGTCATTGTAATGGACAATGCAAGTTATCACAGTAGACAGTTGACTAAAATCCCTTCCTCATGTGACACAAAAGCAACAATCCAAAACTACGTGTATAATAACGTCATTTATTTTCATGAAGATTATACCAAAAAGCAATTAATTGAGGTTCTACAAAGCTTGAACCTACAAAAGGAATACGTCGGTGATAATTATGCAAAAAATCTAGGGCATACAGTTTTAAGGCTTCCACCTTACCATTGTATATTTAATCCCATTGAACATGTTTGGCACCAATTGAAATCTGCCATTCGTCGTCACAATGTTTTCCCCGTGTTAACTCCAATGTCCTCATACTTATAGAAACCGAAGTTTTTAACATCCCTCCACAAAGTTGGGCAAATTCTGTTAGACATATAGAAAAAGTAGAACAATCGTATATTAGAATAGGCGATGATAGCGGTAGTGATACTGATATATTATGTGAATAATTTTAAGTAATTTAAGTAGGTAATAAAAATAATTTGTAATTTTTGTTTTAGATTTAAACATAAATACATACATAAATAAATAAATATTGTTTAGTATCTTTCCTAACAAAACCCCAAATAATTAAATTCTAAGCAAAGTAAGGACCCGTTCCTTAATTCGAATCAGTTAGTCACTTTGTTATATCTATGAATAGACTTTGTCCATAGGAACAGAGAGTACTTATATGGGGGTGTTTTTTTTTGCTAAACAAAAATGCCTAACGAAGCGAGGAAAAGAGCAGATACGAGGGGTAATCCGTTGGCGGAGGAATTTTGGTGTACAAATCTTGGGATTGATTGCTAATAATAGACGAATTAGTGGCATTAGTACAGGAACTGGTAATAATATTCGAGGTATTAGTTGCATTAGCTAAGGAGTTTTAGTTATTAGTCGAGGAACTACTTAAAAGAAAAACTTTTTCTTAGCGTCAAATTCACCCTAGAATTTTATAGGGTTACTCTGAAGTACTTTTTAAAAAGGTAAAGGTCTAGGTCTAATCACCTTATAAACTCTCGATATAATAGCTATTAACAAACTTAACGTTGTTAGAGTTTTGTCGGTATTTCTGTGATCTTCAAACGTCGCTGTTGTTGTGTTGGTTGGCGGGTAGTTTAGAACAAAATCACGTAGTTTTCAATAATTTGAATGCCGTAAGGTACATTTTATTTCACTTTGCAGTATTTTGTCAGATATTTCCTAAGAGGAAATGTTTAATTTATTAAACTGTAATACAGAGTTTTTTTTACATGCCTTCTCGAACTTATTATTACACCCAAGGTAGCTTTGACCAATGTGAGAAAATATATATTTTTGGGCATTAAGAATCATTTAATAATTATTGTGATCGCCAACTACCAATATTTATTGTTTATGTATGTTAGTTCTTATTATCGGAATTGCTAAGGAAATTAGTATATTAGGTATCAGATATGTTAGTTAGTTAGATCGTAATAAAAGTGTAAGTATCGGAATTAGTTATCTAAAACTATAAATTTAGGAATTAGTGTGCAGATTTTTTTATCGCGGTTTAACTCTCGAGCAGATACTGATCGAGCAGATTTGACCAACTGAACACCATCTTTTTCTGAGCCGAACGAATTTAGCCTACTCGAAAATTAAATGTGATTTAATCGAGCTTCTGCTTCGATAGCCGAAGCAATGCCCTAAAAATAGCTAAATCAAAGCCTAATCACTGCCTACATTGACCCAGTTATTTTATCAGTCAATACTAGAAAAACCAACTAGAAGGAAATTAATATCAACCCAAGTTTAACCTTACCACTTCCTTCCTATACTTTGTGATTGTGTATTTGTTAGGGCAGTGATTTTTAAGTGTATATTAAGTAACGAGGGAGGGACAAAAGGAAGGATCTGGTCCTACTTTGATGGTAGGTAGTTCGTTCAGGTTATGGTATGTCTCAAAGTATACCGTCTTAGCTTTTGACGGATTCATTCCTAAAAGTTGCCCTTTTTACAAATTTTTACTGATATCAGCGTCAGTGGGTTACCCTGCGCTTCGAAAAAGGTTGTGTCGCGTCATAATTGCTTGTCATTACATCCAAAACAAATTGGAAAAATGTGTATTAATGTTTAATAGGTAGAGGATTCATTACGCAAAAAGTATTTAACAGAAACCACGGCTTCAGACCTAAGCAGCGATTCATTCATTTTTGGAGTACGCTATCAACCTGAGTCTGGAGAGCACCCTGCAGGGATATTTTGTTATCTTAGCAGGGCGTTTGCCTTTATGAACCAAGAAATTCTTTTGAATAGGACGGAACAATACGGAATTCGTTGTATAGCACTGAACTGGTTTAGATCGTTCTTAACAAATCGTAGGCAGTATGTTGAAATAAGGTAGGAAAAGGGCAATTTGTGTCAAATTAGAAAAATCTCAAGTCCAATCGGTGGATAAGGGGGTATCGCAAGATCCAGTGTTTAGCACCGTTCGCAGAGTTCGACTGTTCAAGTTTAATCTCCTCACACGAACTAACTCTTTTTGAGTGTCCAAAAAACAAGTTTATTGATATTCAAATGCCCATAAAACAAAAAAAAAAACTTTCTGTTAATCCACTCGATCGGGGAGGCCGTTGAAATAACATAGCACGCTAAATTTCTAGAACTAGAACTCGGCGAAACCCTATCTTGGGAAACTCAATGCCAATTCCTCTCTTCAAAGCTGCACACTTATTGTTTCCTCACAAAAAATTAAAAAAAACTGTTTTGAATGGGAAATGTATAATAAATTTCTACTATGCTCATATCCATTCGAGATTACTCTATGGTATTCTTTTTTGGGGAAATTCAAGTCATCCAATATCTCTTTTCATATCCCAAAAGAAAGTCCTAAGGCGTATCGCTGGAGTGTCGCCGGATAGCTCGTACAGGCCCCTCTTCAGGGAGTTTAAAATACTGCCTTTAGCGTGTATATTAGGAGTTTTTTTATGGGTGTATAAAAGCAAAAATAACTTACAAAAAAAAACTACTATAATACACGTAACAAAGATTGTTTCTGTATAAAAAATAGACTAGAATTTTCAAAAAAATGTTTTACTAACACCGGTGTTCGAGTCTACCCTTCCCCAGAGCTATAAAGCAGTAGTAATATAAACATTTTTAATTCCAAACTAAAACATTTTACTTATTAATGATTGTTATCACTGTATAAATATAAATTTTTAAAGTAGTTTTCTGTCTCACTTCCGGGATCTATATTGTGTACCTAATTTTGGCCTACTTGACGAAAACCATAATACGCTGTGTACTGATTGTATTTTAAATTTGTGGTATAATAAACATATTATAATAATAATAATAATTATTATTTTCTATTGGTATTAAATTCATTTTATTATGCCTAAATAAACATAATACAATATTTAATCTTTATACTTTTAAAACATCTTAAAAGTCCGCATCAACTCTGTCAAAATTGGTTTGTTCTAAATACGGGATTATATATCACACAGATAGATATGTTTTTGCTTGGTACGCCATAGTCTCGTTGTAAAATTTGTCGAGTACTGAAATTGCTCGCATAAAAAACTCCTGCAGAAAATCTGTCGGGGTCTCTGCGTTTTATTTCGGACAATCGAAAATGCAACGGGACGGGGAGCCAGACGCACCGCTGAGCGGTAACACAGCGGGTAGCTATCGACGCGG